GAGAGGCCAGCACTACTTAAGGAGCTGCCAGCCTCATTCCACGCAGATCTCCTCTGGCATTCAATACGTGGAAGTGCTGGTGCACTTGTGCGTTAGTCAGGCAGGAGCAGCGCTGGAGGAAGGAGATGCGCTAAAGGAGGAGAGAAGGCTGGGCGCTGGAGGGAAGCAGCCATCGCTGCCCAGCAGATTAGTGTAGACTTAGCAGGGTTAGTGTAGATAGCTACGAGTGACATTCAGAGTAGATCCTCGTGAGAGAAGAGTGTGTATGCATCGTGAGAGGAAGGGACCGAGACAGAGAGAGTGTTCTTTCAAGGTCTGGTTATGGAGGACACTTACCTGAGCTAGAAGCAAGTGACGAAGGTGGCATTGATGTATCTGATGTGGGATTGGTATTTCGCTGAAGCGCGTTGACTCAGGGAACTGTGAACTCATTGTAATCATAATTTTTGATAATATAAGTGACGGGTCTTGGTCCTATTCTCATCTACCTTTGTCTCGTGTGTGGCAACTGTGTCCATTGAGTGTGAAGACGATGTTTGATGTATGCACATCTGCGTGAGTTGGTCCCCAGGACCCATGCATTTATGCTTTGCAACGATGTCGTAACAGTTGTGGCATCGTAATATCAGAACATTACAACAGGTTGCCAACAGCAGCGATTTAGCGAAAGGTTTCCTAGAGAACAAGCCGATCTTGTTGACATAATTTTGCAAGGGTGTCATGTTACACTACAGAACAACACTGCTTCAGCAAAACCAACAACACCATGGCAATGTTGAGATAGGATTAGCACGGTAAGAAAGGCGTTGTCTACTCGCCCAAGGAACACTGTACCACTCTAATGTCAAGTACATACTTATCCCAAGTTGACCTTAGATACCAGGTCGACATTAGAGTCTCCTGATTCTGAGTTTTATCCTTAAAGCACCAGTACACCACATATCGGACCGCGGGTGTCAGCATGAAACCCGCACCACTTCGCAGGCCGCCGATTTTTTTTTCAACGGCGGGCCTGGCCGCGCGGCGCCTCCAAGTTTTGCTTGTGGCGACAAAAACTTTCTGCAAGGCTGGGGCCGTGTACTAGCGGTTTAAATGGGCACGATATTTCATGGTCTCTCCTAGATTCCAGGAGGCCACACACTTTCTGTGGTAGCCATAGCGTCAAATATCCTATGGCCGCAGGCATTGGGCGTCAGCACTGCTTTTCCTGGGTATAGACCACCACCACTTCATTTTGGGGATTGTTGTGGTTACCACAGGGCCACCAATTTCTCAATTGGTTTGTTGGATAGTCAAACTGGCCCAGGCCCGGAGGCGAGTCCCAAAAAGGGAGTGGTTGTTAAACTGTTTAGTGACGTGGTCCCTCATTAGGCATTGTGCAACTAGGCTGTTGCTTTTGTGATGCATTAGTGCCCAGGCCCTGAGGCGAGTCCCAAAAAGGGAGTGGTGGTTTGTGTAGTGATGTGGTCGAGCATCAGGCATCGATGCTGCTTTTGTGATGCACTAGGTTCTGCACTCTTGTGACAAGGTCGGAGTGGTTGCCTGAGAAAAGAGCCGAGGGGAAGAATCATGTTTCTTCTTGTAAGTTTAGTTCGTTCGCCTGATCCAATGTGGCCAGACGTGGGACAAGAGTGTAGGTGATCATTCCACTGATCGAATTCGGCCAGACGTGGGACAAGACTGTAGATGACCTGGCACAGTATGCTCAAACAGCATACCTGGTCAGGACTAGTGGGTAGTGCGACAAACGCAATAGGGACTATGAAACAGAATGGGAACATCATGAGCGAATTGGTCTCTTCTATCTCGGTAACAGAAAGGAACTGGGGGACGTCACACACTTCCAGTGGGTCATAGGACGAATGCCTGACCGGTAGCATGTTCAGGCCGCTTACTGTGGTCAATGTCAGGCTCTTCTGAGGTGCTTCATTATCGTTTCAAGCGCGAACTCTGATGATGTCGACTCCATCTCTTATGCCTTTTTCTGTTGTTCTTTCATGTTTCCCTCGCAGTGGGGCAGAACGGAAAAGCGCAGTGCTCGCTGAATGGTGGTCCTCCCTCAAAGGAATCTGTAACTGGGCCATCGACGGGGGGTGCTGGGGCCGTCTCAGGCAGCGGAGGCTCTCCATCTGGAGACAAGCCACGGGTACGATATTTTGTTATCAAGAGCTTGAACCATAAGAACATTGCAAGCTCGGTTGAGAAGGGCATCTGGGCAACTCAAGCTATGAATGAAGACAAGCTGAATGAGGCTTATCGGGTACTCTCCGTCTTCCAACCTCTTCGTCCGTTCCGCTCCAGTTTACCTTCCCTCTACCCTTTTGCCCTTAACTCTATTTCTTGCAACCAATTTGAAACTGCGCCCATGGCACTTCTTTGACTCGTTGAAAAAGTGTGAGCGACCTCCCTCTCTATCCTTTCTCCCTTCACTGTATTTCTTGCCACTAATTCGCAACTGCATCCATATCACTCCTTCGACTACCATCTTCACCCGAATAGAACGCCCGGTCATTATAGGCTTACTTGGGCAACTTTCAGTCTAGATGCAGCCATAATGACCGGGCATTCTATTCGGGTGAAGACGGTAGTTGAAAGAGTGTGAGCTGCTGTATGACCTCAGTATGATCAGCAGCATATGTAGTTCGTTTCCACGGTGTGGTCCCCCCACCTCCTGGTTTCTTTCCCAATCTATTTCCAATTTTTCACTTCTTTTCGAGTTGTGAATCTATTTCCACCTTTTTTTTGAGTTGTAAAATATTTCATATCAGAGTTGACTATTGCATGGTGAATTGAGCAGACGATCATAAGAATGATATCTGCTCTTGACCTTACTTGTTGGTGGGAGGTGATTAAGATGCCCTAACCCTGATTCCGACGAGTTAGTTACGGTAATTAAACTTGGATTAGTAACCCTGTAACCCTGCGTATTGGGGGTGTGAGGCCTGGTAGAGATCTGGTTTTCTTGTTATGGCTGCTTCGCGTAGGTTTGTGTGGGTATGCATCTAGAAGAGCTGGAGATCCTTGGAGTTCACTTGAACACCTCAGATAGTCGTTTGTGACTTTGTGGAAAAGAGGTTCTGCATTCTCTTTGTTTTTGCTGGAAATGTTCAGTAGACTTTACTCTAGTAGCGGTTCAAGATCTTTTTTCTCCTGAAATTTTCTGAATGCTTCCGAATTTCCTGATAACTCTCAGATGAAACCGGGTAATGGCCCCGGTACTTCAGTATGTCTTCTGTATTCTCATGAGGGGTCTTCCCCCCCCCCCTCCCAAAGGAAAAGAGACGAAATAAGGGTGGGAAGTGCGGAAGATGCTCGCCTTACCATAGATCCGAAAGGTAATGTGACGTTATGACCTTGGACTGTGGTTAGAGAGGAAGATTAAGGGGGAGGAGAAGTGTGAAATGTACTCTCGCATGAGGAGGGCATCCAGAAGGACAATCTGTGACCACAAAGGCTGCCTTTTCAATTGGTGAGCATGGGGATGATCTACTGCAGCAATCTGACTACAAGAGTTGGTTGGGATTTGAACTTCTATCGGCTCTGCGATAGGTAGTGGTAGGGACTGGCTAGGTTTTAGGCTACTATAGGGTCAGGACAGCGTGCTTGAGGGGGTCTGGAGGTAATGCAGATTGGTGGAGTGATATCTACCCCAAGGATGAATCAGCTGGCCCAGGCAAGTGTTCGTGTGACCAATGGATGCCCATGTTTGTCCAGCTGCATGGATGCTGCGCATGCTTGGATACTTGTTGATCATTATCTGTTTGGTTTTGCGCTACCTACGCAAAAGTCTTTGTTTCCACAAACTACTATTTGAACTCACCATGCTTTCTCAATCATGTTGTACCAAAAGGGGATTTATTCTGTTGTTATCAGGATGATTGAATGCTCTCTGGTGTAGATTATGGTAGTGCAGGCTTCCCATGGGCTAAGGTGGATCTTGCTAGCCTTGGGAAGTGGTCTGGAAGGGTGGAAGCTGAGGGTCCTTGAGGGATAGCTTCTAGCCAAAACCAATTAGGGATGCATAATCTTATCAGCACCCTAGGGGGTTGGCAACCATCTTAAGAGGGAGGTAGATGATTGTGGCGAGGGGGGTGCAGCCTTCCTCAGCAATTGGTAATATGGAGGCACATGAAGGATTGACGGCAAGCTTTGATGGGCCAGCCAGGTGGCATCGTGCAGGAAGTCCAAGACTACATTTTGGGAGAAACTGGGATTACTGGTTAGTGTTTTCCTGTAGTCCTGTATCTACTTACTCTTCTTACGGCTGCAGTTCTTTTGACGCCTTTGTGGTCTGTCAGCTACAACGACACCTCACCATTCTTGCATTGGCGGGATGTCTTTTTGGGATTCGTTTTGGGCTTGTTTTGATTAGATCGGACACCATTTGATTGTGGTTCCTTTGTCTCAAGTTAATTGCTGCTTTGCTGGGAGTTCAGTACCTCCCTTCCTTTGCCGAGCTTTCATTGTATGCTAGCTAGCTGACAGCACCTTCTCTAAGACGAAGAGAGGAGAGAGAGAGAGAACACTAACACTTAAAACCTGGAAGAGGGTCGATGTTATGGGGGACTCGTTTGGAGGGGCTGAGCGTCCTAAAGACCGTATGGGTGAGCAAGAGCAGCATACACTGTGAGATTTGACAGCCACAACTGCTATGGAAGATGCCGAGGTGAAGACTAAGTGACGATATAATTTTTTGGGCCTGGGCTGCACTGGTGCTGTACGTACACGATGAGACTGTACGTACACGATGAGAATGCCAAACTTGTCACCGTAGATAACCTGAGTACGAGCAATTCTGAGCTGCAACTTGCTGTAGCTGAGCTGTGGGCACAACATCTGAGGAGGCAGGAACAGCTCGCTGATATGACGAGCCATTCTGCTACCCCAGCAGGAGGGCTTAGTAATGTCTCCAGCAACATAAACTACTGCCATTCTAACTACTGCTCTCTCCACAAGCGTAATTGTTGCTGATGTTGCAGTAAACCCTTGAATCAAACCAGCATTAAGTGCTGCAGCAGACCCTCAGCCTGCTATCTGTACAGACAGGAGCTCGTATGTATGACAAAATGATGTTGCTGGCACCAGTTAAGTTTATCGGCAAACAAGATGTTGCCACTCGGTGCCACTTGGTTTTGGTGAACTGAAGCTGTACTTCAGATTCATCCGGGCTGCATAGGACCATTCCACGCTGCTGTCCGCTCTAGTGGAAACTCCTGTCAATGCGTGGCTACAATCGAGGGCTGCTAAAGAAGGGTAATGAGTGGACTGATTGGCTTCAGAATGCTTGTTGCCAAACCGTAATAGAACTGATGAGGACGCAATGGAGGACAAGCTCGTAGGACAAAAGGCTTATTACTGAAGGGTCCGAAAACTAAGCTTCACCATGGGGGTGGTGGGTGGCCTCCATGCAAAGTCTATACCAAAGGCGGCTGCTTTCTTTTCAGGATTTGGCCTATAGTTGACCACAGCCGCTAAGCTGGATGTTGTGGAATGTGCGGCCCCTCCAAATCTTGTTCCCCAGCTTGGCACCATTGATTTTGAGGGCCTTGAAGCCATATATTCGAATCTACTACCCCATGCTAGTTGAACCCTCAAGGAGGATTTTGCCTGAAACGCGTTGTTGTTCCAATCTTCGGTAGGGTATGGCATGGCGGACCCGGGTGGAGACACGTTACCTGATAAGGAAGCAAACCTGCACTAACCCAACCCTGGAGCTGCATTTGAAGGCGAGTGAACCTGCACTATCCCAACCCTGGAGTTGCATTTGAAGGCAAGTGAACCTGCGCTGTCCCAAACCTGGAGCTGCATTTGAAGGCGAGTGTTCTTACAGCCTCGTGTTGACAAGGGTACAAGGACGCGAAATTGCTTCCGTTCAAAAAGTTTGCCACCTCTAGTACGGGGTCTGTTGACCATCCCAACAAGATGGGTAAAGCTTTTCTCCTAGCTAACAATACCGAAATCCTGGAACACCTTGGGGCTAAATAGACCGCACCATGGAAAACAGTCAAGATCTCTGAAGAGACTTGGCGGAAGCTCCTGGACAAAGGTTTGTCTCTACATTGGGGTCATTTCGTAAGAGAATGTTTCCGCGTAAAGGGAAGCCCAAATTGGGTTTAGACTCTCGAGAGTATGTCAATCCTCTCTACGCTGGTGAAACAATAGAAGGCTGTACTGGTTTCAAATTCTAATTCAAAATTCATTGCGGAATGTGTCCTCACACTTATTTTCAAACTTCGTACCTGCATCCCTGCCCAAGCACAGACTGACACTAAGGGTGTGCCACTGCATTTTTCCTATTTCGAGCCTTAAAATAACTGGGAGAAAGATCAGTTATCATGCCCACAGGGAAAGAAATAAAAAAAGATGGCAAGGATGGGAGGCTCAGACCCATTTATCTCCGGGTGTCCATCTACCGTATATAGCATTGGTGGACAATGGGGCCACCTACAGTGTCATTTCCCCTCACGGCGTTTACAAGGCCAATCTTGGATTGAAGGCCGAGGATCTGCAGCATGTCTTCCAGGTGACACTAGCAGCCGGGCAGTTGTCACATGCTCACGCGTTGTCGAAGGAATCCCTACAACCTTTGCCAACGGCAAAAATGTCACACACTCACTTAACTTCCACATAATGATCGAGGGCCCTTGTAAAATGTTGTGAATGGGTTGGGCTGGTTGCGTTTGAAGTTGCAAACGGCCGCAATACATTTTGAAGGAGCCTAGATTCATGGTGTAAAACTCTTAGGGCCAGGCTTCTAAGGTCCTTTTGAATGAATACCGCGAGCTTTACTAACCGTCCGGTGCTACTTCTTCTCCAACTTCTAAGTCTAAATCTGATCAAACAGTTGCAATGGACTCGAGGTCTCCTCTTGACCAGAATCTAGGTGTGCTTGCAAAACCAAGTGGTGTGCGACAACAGACTGTGAAGCACAGGATTGAAATGCTTTCGGATAGCCGGCCGCCCGGGGGGTGTTTGTATCACATCGGACTGGTTGGTCAGAGAAAATGCCGAAACCAGATTGAAGAACTGTTTACTAAAGGGCAGACTAGCCCTAGGCTGTACAGAGCACTATTGTTTTTGTGCCTGGAAAGAATGGTAAGCTCCGCATGCACATTGGCAATCAAGGACTGAACGGTATTACCAGGAAAAACATATACCCTTTGCCTTGATTTGACAATCTCCGTGAGGCGATTGTGGGATGGCAAGTGTTTTCCAAGGTCGACCTCAAATCTGGCTACCACTAGGTTGAAGGTGATCCAA